TACTATAATAAAGGTATATATACAATTATATATATATAATACAGTATATTTATATATACAGTACAGTGCATGAATATGTTAATACACAGTGCATACTACATGCATTTATGTGTCTAGAAGGCATATATAATACACTGTCTATTTTTTTCCATATAGTGTTTTTGGGTTGGAAAAAAGTAATTCATGATTTAACAGACACCCTTTTGGTAAACTGTTATTTCAATTTATTAAAAAGGATCGTGTTGACCTAGCCAAATGGCATGGCAACCCATTTTTGGGTTGTGATCCATAGATTATGAGGACAATGGTCAAGACAATTTAGATTTTAAAAATTCCACCTTGTAATATCCAAATCAGACCTCCATTTATGTGAATCTTTAATTCCAAATTATATTTGTATTATATTTGTGTATTTATATTATATAAATATATTATATTTGTGTATTTTTTAGGTATGCTTTTAATGGACTAAAAAGCTCTAAAAATAATAATGTAATTCATCTAAGTCTTCATATCTGTTCAGGTAGTTCTCCATTTGCAATACTGCTGGGAATAGTAAGATTTGAAAAGTTTTAAACTGTCTGTACTCTTTTGGGTTTTTTTTATTTTCATGTTCTAAATAAAAATCTGGGAAATGTTACATTTATCCTGTAACTTTCAAGCATCTCTCCATTGACCTTTTAGGAGCATGAGAAGAGATGCTGGAGTGTTGATTTCAATCTGATGGATCCAAAACTTTTGGCTTCTGGCTCAGATGACGCAAAAGGTGAAGATAAAAGAAAAAAATTAAGATAAACTGATTGATAGCTTAACTCTTTTTAACACTACATATTAGTTTGCAGAACCAAGTAGCTTAATGTTGCTTCTCAGAAGAAAATAAAGTATAAATTGCTCAAAGTATTTCTTATTTTTTATGATACTTTTAGCATTCTGTATAATTTGAGGTCCTCAGTTCTGATAAAATGTTCTAATTTTATCAAGTACTTTTTTCATTTAAAATATTAAGGTTTTAATATTATATTTGTTCCATTTACTGTTGATAATATTGAATAATGTTTCATTATTGTTATTTGCAGTGAAATTATGGTCTACAAACCTGGATAATTCTGTTGCTAGCATTGAGGCCAAGGCAAATGTGTGTTGTGTGAAGTTCAGTCCTACATCACGTTATCATCTTGCTTTTGGCTGTGCAGGTAATTTACCCATTTATATTTTAATTACTGATCTGAAGAGTTTCTTTTCCCTTTTCTAATTGATCAAGTTTCTCTTGTACAACATCCTGATACGAGAGAGAGGGGAAAAAAAAGTTTATCTCGGTGTAAAATTAAACAATTTGCACATAATTACATTGAAATGTTGGAAGATTAATTTCTGTACAGGCAAGTAATTATTTCTGTTAATATTTTGTATAAAGAGTATTGGAATGTTATTCTGAGCAGTCAGTATTTATCAACTATTGCATATCGTTGTATAGAGCCTAATATATATTTTTAAAAATATTTTAGTTTCAATGCCAACATTGTTACATGTTTCCATACTTCATACATCTAGACTGCATGACTGTCAGACAGTTGTCAGTAATCTCTTGTATTTTTCGTTCACATAAATGTCAAAGTATGGCAGCAACACAAATAATATTGTTGGGAAGTTCTAGTCACCACTTTTGGTTTCTGTTTGTTGTAACTGTTATCCATACCAATCAGTGCAAGCACCCTGCTTTCTCTCAAACCTTGTCATTGGGAATTAATGTTGCATGTTGCACTGACCTTGTAATCTTGTGGTCGAATAATTCTGAATATGAAAATGTTTTGTCTTAGAAATTGTATGAAATATTTTATGTTCACCTTGATCAGAGCAGAATTTTTAAACGGCAGGGGCTTGGAGTTCAAAATCCAGCTCATATGTCCACAACACTTGTTAATCCTCCCTGTGGGAGTGGTGCTTGAGTAATGGTTCAGTCAGCTTTTGCGATTATATAAGGTGTCTCACAGGAACACGTGTCACCACTTGGATCAGTTCTGCTCTCCAAAGTAATTTGTCACCAGTTCTTATGGGTTAATCAATGAAACTGCTGGTGAGTATGTTTAAGATTGGCTAAGTGGCCACTTACAGACTTGTATCAAATAGTTTGAGAAGCTGTTAAATTGTCATGTTTAGGTGCTTGGTTGAAAAACTAAGCATTATAAATCTAATATTTTAAAGAGTTCAATTTAAAAATTATTGAATAAAATTCAAGATTGATACAATGATTATTCGAAGTGGTTCTGATCTTAATTTTATAGATGACAGCAGGACTGTATCTGTTAACCTTAAACTGCTCGAAAGTTTGTTGTAATATAAAGTCACAGTAAATCTAAATTTTATTCTCAGAGCTCTATTAGGAATGTTATTTCCTTGTTTGGTAATTCAGTACGGCATAGTGTAAAACTGATGAGAGAATGTATTGAATGTGACTTAATAGTTACAATTTTCCGCTCATTTTTAGCTGTGCTGTACAAATACATTTTATGTCTTGTGACAGCAGGGCTTAAATAATTGTTAAGGCCAGATGTAATATAGACATTTTTTTATAAGGAAAGTCCTGCTCTTATCTAGAGGAATATATTTTCTGAAATTGATTACTGTCAAGATCCCAGACAGAGCTGAAAAATATTAGATGTGATTTTCCCTGTGCTTTCTTCCAGATCACTGTGTCCACTACTATGATCTCAGGAACACTAAACAGCCTATCATGGTGTTTAAAGGCCACAGAAAAGCAGTTTCCTATGCTAAGTTTGTCAATGGAGAGGAAATTGTGTCTGCGTACGTTTGCATTTTTCTTTTCTTCTTTAATGGCAACACCACATTTAATCAAAAGCAAAGAATACAGACTGAATTGATTTACATTTTCTGTGTAGGAAGACAATTGATGTGTAGGGCTTTTTCATAGAAAAAATCTATTGGTCAATTTTTAATTTTATTTGAACGTGTTAATACTTTGATTGTACAGTTACAATCACATACCATCACTGCTTGTATATATTTAACTCCGCTTCATAAAATAATATCATAGCACTTAATTCCTCATGTTCATAGGTCAAAATGAAGAGGGGAAAAAGGCAGTTGAACGGTATTTTGTGTATATTTAAATGAAGTTCCTTTTCTTTTCCTGTGTGCTGTTTATGACGGTTCATGGTGGCTTAATTAAGTTTTGTTCTGATCTATAAATGCATTTTATTTTGGATCTAGGTGTTTTAAATCAAATATATCTGTAGGGACCATTTTAGAAAGTCTGACTGTTTAATGCCGTTCCCTGACAGCTTGTTGGAATACCTAAAGAGAACTTTTGCCCTAACCAGGTTAGAATGTTCTGATTATACAGCAGTATTTGCCTATTGAAATCTAGACAGATTGGAGAGACAACGGCTATTACCTCATTATCATAGGTGTTATGGCACCTTGTTTTTGAAAGGGGAATTAAATTGTTTCCCATTAACCTTGACTATGTTCAAATTTACAGTTCGGTATACTTTTCTGACAGAGATTAGCAGACCTTTTTAACATGTGTCGTGATCCTCATTTTGCAGGTCTACAGATAGCCAGTTGAAGCTGTGGAACGTAAACAAGCCCCAATGTCTCCGCTCTTTTAAAGGACACATTAATGAGAAAAATTTTGTGGGTTTGGCTTCCAATGGAGATTATGTTGCATGTGGTAAGCATTAGCTTTGTGCTTTTTCCAGTATTATTTTCTGGGACAAATTTAAGGTAGAGACTGAATTTTCATCCCTGTGCTTTTTTCTGCTTGAGCCTCCTGGCAGTACACTTTATTAAGAAGCCTTTCTGTTCTTTTTACTGGTCATTAAGCACTTGTCTTACAACTTTTAAAATCCATTACCACAGCTCTGGACCTGACCTTGACTGTAATGTAGTCTCATCTCTCAAGCATTGTCCTTCATCAGCAAGCACACTAAAATTATTATACCTTGAAAAATCCCTATTAGAATTATTGTGAAGTGAACATTTTTAGATGGTGCCTTTTTCTGAGAAGCTTTACATGCTTGTAATACCAGTGGCTGCTACCCTCGTAGTGTTTATGAAGCAGCTGCCAGCTGCGTCAGACCTTTACATTTACAAAATTGTACTGTTTCAATTTTAGGCTCCCAGGTAGTAAAGATCTTTAGTGTAGTGGAACTGGTAAGCTGTGAAATTTGTAGGAAAATTTGGGGGTGCTGGCAGCATTAACTATGTATTCTAAACCATTTCACAATCATCTTCTTATTCCTTGCTCCAGCTCAATTGAAACTTTTGATTTCATCAACGAAGCAAAATTGCGCTTGAAACTATGATACTTTTTACATCCGCAACTGTTCATAAAATGTTGTGAAAAATGCAGTCCATCCTACAAACTGCTCCTGCTCAGAACTATTGTAAATTAACTCCAGACCTACAATTTACTCCGTTATTAACATTATTGAATTAACTCCATTACCTACAAACTCCATTTGTAGGTAAAGTTCTAGTACAAATTGGATGAATATAAAAATGGTATTCCTGCATAAAACAAAACGACTAATGACAAATCAGTTACAATATGGCAAAGTAGGGTTCCTACATACATGAGGGTGACTGTCTTGCAACCACTTTATTCCTTTGCTGATATACATCCCATGATGCTACTGAGCACTGTTTGCCTAAATTTCAAAGTCATCGTTGCATGACTTTGAAATTTAAAATATGTTGTAATGGATAAAGCTTAAATTAAGCTGCCTGGTTGCCATTTTGTTATGAAACTTAAAAGTATCACTGTCTTAGGACCCAGGACCCAAAACACCCAAGTGTTTTGAAATTTGGCAGATATCATCACGCCCAGCTTCACATCACTCATCACATATTTAGTGAAACACCTTATACTATTGAACACTCTTCTTCAAACACTATTTGGCCAATGCACTCTAATGGCTCAGTGGATAAATGCATAGGTGGGTTTATCAGTAAAGGTATCAGGTGGGTAAAGATACCAGGCGGGGGTAGGGGATATTATTTCACCAGGACTCTCTCAGTTCCTGGTGACACACGAAGCCAAGTACGTCCTTGGTGCTTGCAGGCTTGTGGTACTGTCAGTGAGGAATGTTTCCAATCAGCTTTGAATCTCTCAAGTGGTGCTACAATGCCTGTGACATTTCAAAAGACATGTAGTTCAAAGGTGAGTGGGTTGAAGGAGTCTGCCTACACTTCCTCATTCTCACTCCTTTGACCAGTGAACTCCAATGATTGCTAGGTATCCTGCTTTCCTCTTAGTTTACTTGCAGTGCAAATTACTGTAAGTGGGTAGGAATGTTCTTGGAAGGTTTTAGAATGTATATGTGTTCATCATGTCTGTATAGATTTTTTCTTAATTTTGTATGATTAAAATAATTGCTAATAACCATGACAGAACTATTCAGCAGGGAATGAATTGCTTTGATCTGTAGCTTAGGCAAGCACCATGTAAAATTACATTCTTTCTCCTTTCTAATTACAGAATTACTTTCCTGCTTGTAAAACTGCTGTGAAAGTGATACATTAACCATGAGATTCAACACATTTGTACCTGCTAACAAGAATGTCTTTAAATAAAGCAACACACTGCTGTAGCTTGCACCTCATGTCTGAGTTAGTGACCTGTTATTAAAATGCAGTTGTTTAAGTCCATGAATGCTCTTTAACTGTGGTTTATTTTTAGATTTAATTACTGTAATACTGATCAAAACCATCTACAAATTAGCTGTTGTATTATTAGAAATTTTAAATGGAAGGTCATGAGGCTGATAAGTTAGTTCAAACGATTTAAACACATATTCACCACCCCTTCTTCAAACATCACCTGGACTGTATAATCAAAGCATTGGTATAAACTTCTATAGTTACAAATAACCAGTCAATCTTTGGTTACCGTATGTTAGTTTCAGAAATAAAAACATGCAGCAAAAATAGTCATACTGTTTTTAGTTTTTGAATGAGAGACTCTTGTGTATCTGAGTTTATACTCTAAATAGATTAGGTAATTTTCCTAAATTTTGTCTAACCATTATTTTGTTTTCTGCAATATTAGGTCCACATTATTGAATCCCAGACTTTTCCAATTACAAATGTGCTCCTATAAAATTTAGTGCAAAGACTAAGATATAGTTTAATTATACTATCTTAATTATGTTCTGCTGTGACTATTTTATATTGGGGGAAAAAAAGTGATGCAAGATTATTCGTTTTGCTCTGGAATTGGTCCAAAGAAGGATTACCAGGTACCTTTCTGGGCCTAAAGCAAAGTCCAACATTGGCCTTGTTGAGGGCATGGCAGGCAATATTAACCATAATAAGGAGACAAACTATGGACAGCGACTGTAAATGCAGAAAGTAAAGCATTTTTAAGGAAAAAGTTGTGATATTCTGAAAAGAGCTGCCTTCCAGCTGCCAGTTGTGTATATACACTTCACTCTATTTCCCAGCTGTTTCTTCATCATCTAATATGTCGTGTTGTTTCATACACAGGAAGTGAAAACAATTCCCTCTATCTGTATTATAAGGGGCTGTCAAATACGCTATTGACCTTCAAATTTGACACTGTGAAGAGTGTGTTGGATAAAGATAAAAAGGAGGATGACACCAATGAGTTTGTCAGTGCAGTGTGCTGGAGAGCACTGCCTGATGGGGTAAGAGACACAGTTTTATATCACTTCTATTAAATTTATGGATTTCTGAAAGTAACTAATTTGACAGGCATCTATACTGCATTTCAGGAGTCTAATCATGGTTCTAAAGAGCCCCTGTCCACTAAGTTTGATAGCCCACCTTAAAACTCTTTTAAATTGAATGTTTGTTAACCAGTTATTCATTAATTGAGCAGGTCTTGTTGTTCCATTACAGAAACTCTTGTCCTCAAAGGCTTAAGATTTTTATTTGAAGTTATTTGTGATTTACTTCCTAGAAAACTACCTTCAGTTAGTCATGTCTTTACAAAGATGTGACTTTGGTTTTATACCTTTATAAACATGAGTTAATGATACCCGACATTCCTCCTGTGTATTTTATGCACATTTCAACTTATATGATTCAAATTATTATTCTGAAATCATTTATATTTTTAACATTGTTGCAAACCACAATGTATTATTTTTCTTTTAAATCACATCATTTATTATTATTTTTAATATATTTGTAACCTAACTTGCAGCACATAGGAAAATACTGATTGGATGGCATCCACTGAAATCCGTACATTGCTATGTTTTGGTCTTTTAAGCATTTTATGTTTACACCTGCTGCCCTCTTAATGGGTTTGTGTTCATTTATTTGCCATTTTATCTGTCTCACTGAGTTTGAGCTCTTAATTCAGATGAGGTTGGCTAAATTGGATTATGCAAAAATCTTAGCGTTTGTTTCAAATCTTATAAATGTGGATTGTGTGACACTAAATATGGTCTTTCTTAGATTAGTGAGCTAAATATAGCATTAAATGCCAGAAGCATTTTGATTGCACTAGTTGTATTATTAAACAAATCCACTACAAGAATAAACAGGTAAATAAAACCCGTTTTTCTTCAACCCACAGATATGTGCATTTGTCTTCTATTTGACATCTTGCATTCAACTTAAACAGGGGATCTGTCACACTTCAGAGTTTGGGATTTAATCCCAAAATATGATGGATTTTGCTGAATAATATATTTATTATGCTATTAATAAACCTCTAAGAAACCTGGATAGGGTAAACAGACATGGTAGTATTATTTTTTGTGTTTGTTCCATACCTGTAGGTAGATGAAATGCCACACTGTTTAACACCCATTGTCATTTAGAGTTAACAAGCTTTGACAGAACTTTGGAACAGAAATGATTTCACTCGTAAAAATCAGTGCTCCTGAGAATTTTAAATGTGCTATTTCCTATATACCAAAACAGACATATATGAAATTGTGAGAATTTATGCATCTTTTTGCATTTTAATGTACTTTAAAATGATATCAAAAATTAAATAATTTCCTGCATTAAGTGGATAGTGGTAAGAAAGTTAAAAGCAATTTTGTTGAATATCTTCATTTCAGAAAGATAAAACCTTGCTTATTTTGTGGTGATTATTCTGATGTGTTGGGCTTTTAGGTGATGGGATTGCATATTGTAGAGCCACTTAGTCTCCTGAATAGGAATTTAGATCAGGCAAGGCATTGAAATGCCTAGGAAAAATGTTGTACTGGTACATTTGCAAATGGTATTTGAGCATGAGTGACAGCTTTAATCCTCGTTAGAGATGCATTGATGTTGATTCAGTATAATCCCTGATAAAGGAAGCTGAAATGTCGTTTTGTATAGTTGATAAACAGTGTCAAACAAAACGTTTGAATGAAATTACTTATAGGGCTCACAGATGAAGATAAATTATAGTATCCCCTAGGAGACTCTATAAAATGGCAGCTCTGTATTTTTGTAAAAAATCATTGTTGATTAAAATCGGACTGGTCTAGGTTTTTGCCCATCATTGATTGACTTGTAACCGTGATAAATGTCTTGTGAGACTGAAATTCATTAACTGGTAACCTGAGAAGCGAGACGCTTTCTAGGAAGATTTTCTCTTTGCGTTAAACCTGTTTAATGCTCTGGTTGTTTTAAGGTTCCTAAACTTTTATTCTGAGCATTGTAATGGAGCCCTCCACAGTTGTATCTATATGGATTATGTTCTCATTTTCCAATTTCTGTTCTATTCTCAGGAGTCCAATGTTCTAATTGCAGCCAACAGCCAAGGCACCATAAAGGTAAGTGGGACTTTTTTTCTCTAGAAAAATGTGATATTTTTGGTACCGTAGACAAGGTTTCTCTCTTGAGCTAATTGGCTTTATTCAGAAAGATAGTAAGTTATTCTGTGAAGGCTGGGGAATATTTGTCCATGGTTGATTTTATTTTACAGTTCAGTTTGAGTAATGTAATTAAATGGTACTATAATATTAATAATGTTTCAGTAATGATACTGCTGAGCCAAATCAGTCTTGGGGGCAATTAACGTCTGAAATCGGGTATAAGGAATACTTTCCAGCATTAGGAGAAAATGTCTAATTTAGGAAATATTGATACTGATATTTTAGTTCTCGAATCAAATATGCTAAATTCAGATTTGGATTACCAAATAATTCCAGTTGAGATTTTAAAAATATATTAACAAATCAGTATACAATCATTTTATACAGTATGCATTCATTTCTAAGGAATTTGTGTTTTGTTTGTGTTCAGAATGTATTCTCTGTTGTGAGCTGTAAATTAAGTAGATTTTTTCTTTCCAAAGTTCTACACAAAAGGAGTTACAAAACAATTAAACGGTTCACCTTGTATTTTGGGTGCAGCTAAGAAATGACTTTTCCGCTAAATGTTTGCATGTATAATGATTAAAGTATGTAATTTATTTGGTAATATTTTAAAACATATCAGTTGAAAATTGGAGTTCTTCGTACACGGCCACGGCTGAAACGTTGCATCCATACATACTGACCGATCATAGGGATGTCTTTCAAAATATTTTCACAAATTTAAAATGAAGGAAGTGTTCTTACAATTGTGGAGATAAAGTCACACACATCAATCCAACGTAGGCTTCCCTATGTACCATTTTCATCAGTATTGTACAGAACATCTATGGAGAGCACAGCACAATGGAATCATGAATGAAATAAATATTTAAATGTATATATACACACATCAGTTTTGTTTGTTGCATTATATGGATTTAATTTCACATTTCTAATTTACAGAGAATATAAATTATTGTCTAGTATATACATTACTCTATAGTCATGTGTAAGTGTACAGGCATCTAATCTCTGGGCGCTAGACTACCCGTCTAGTACTGACTACTCACTTCCCCATGGTTCTTTCCCTTAATAAAAAAATCAATTAATTTTTTTTTGGTGTTGTGGAAATATAGAATTCTTACCTTACTAAAGTTTCTTCAAATGTGTTTAAGACTGTCATTTTTATACAGGGCTTTACATAATACATACGTATTATTATTATTATTATTATTATTATTATTATTATTATTATTATTATAATTTATAGCTTTGGGTGTTTTTTCTTAATGTATTGATCCATCACTAATAACTCTGTAACTTTTTATTGGTCTTGTATGGTTCAGCTTTAGAGTCGTTCTTTTTGGAATAAAATCATAGAGAACTTTGCTGACAGTGTCACAAATTAAATTTTCTCAAACCTTGGTTTTGTGAACTGTATTGATTTTTTTTTTTTTCCTCCCATGTAATGTTGAAAAGACCTGTGACTAGGGAGAAACTTGTCTTTGAAGTGTGGTGTGACTGAAAGCTCACTTCTGAAATGCCTTAGGCTCAGTAGTCAATTAAGATGCGTTGTTGAGTTAAATGAATAAGGAATAATACAGCTGATGGTCAGAATAACTGCATAGCATAATTTAGCGGAACCTGACAATTTAATTTAAAGAGAAATAATGGGATTGAATATATTACCTGCAACGTGTTTGAGACAATTAAATGTTAGTACTTGAGAGAAATAATGGAAAGGAATATTTGACACTACATTCTGGTGTTCAGTGTTTGTGGAGTTCTTTCTATGAGAGGTGTAATTAGGTTAATTCAGTGTTTGTTTGTTTTTTCAAATTAAGCAAGGTCATAGTCTGAAATATTTGGAGAGCCTGTAAAGATTTATATACTTTTCTTATCTGTGCAGCTGTTTAAACGTGGACAAGAGACAACCATCCTTAGCTTTAACTCTGTGAAGTTTCACTTTGGAAATCATACCAGTAGGCACCTCTACTCACTTGTCTTGTTTTTCATAGGTACTGGAGCTTGTATGAAGATCAACCAGAAACTACAAAACCTTTCACAGCTGTGATATTTACATTGGAACCCAGACTTTGGGAAGTATTCTCAAATATAACAGCCCAAAGTTTTCCAAAGGACTAAGAACATCTTGAGAAAACATTTCTTGGTTTGACTTGTCAACAAATCAAGTTTATGAAGACTGCCTAAGGATTTCCATCCATATTGTGGGATTTTATGAACTTAAGCATGTGAGGGTGGACCATTTTTTTGCGGAGATGTGGGGAAAAATAGCATAAATATATTCAGTTCTTCATTTTGAATAAAGTTTATTAAGTTAATCTTTTCATCAGTTTTTAATTCTTCCAGGAGTGATATGGCATGTCTTTTAGGTTGCTCACACCATGCCTTTTTTAACATCCTGTTTAAGTTTTGTCATAAATTAAGATAATACAACTTTGAAATCTCTTTAGATGACATCTAACTCCTTTACTTTTTGGTTTTAAATATTAAATATTGGGGGTGGACCCAATATTTAGACTTTGTCCACACTACAAAAATAAAACTCAATAATAGTATTAAAAACTGTTTCTCTTCAGACCTCCTACACTACTGTTTTTTTTTCTCATCACATTTGGCTCATCATGTCCTGATTTTGATTTGTTTAGGTCAGTTACACGCACATCTTGTTTCATTTTCTATGATTTTATTATAATCAAAACAATAAGATGTTACATCTGTTGTCAGGCTAAATTACAATATTGTACTGTTTCAGAGCTCCTGTAAGAAGAATACATCTAAAGCATGGGTGACTCCAGGCTGTTCAAATAATTAGGAGTGCTAACTATAACAGTATTGTGTGTGGAAAATTAGACATTTCATCTTTTGTTACTTTGCTAAATCTAGTCTGTTGCATATAATTGCTGAATCTGTTCTCTAATGTAAACCACTGCTTGAAATCAAGCCATTGTTTAAAAAAAAATGAAATCGCAAGCAATGAGTTGAAACTATTTTAACATGAAATTTAACCCGTTTTTAGGCCTGTCTGTCTTTACTTGATACGGATCCATATTATTTTCAACACTTTTTTTGATTCATTGCCTGTTAAGAAATGTTATTGATACTAACCTTATATACCGGAGAAGAGTTATATTTGGATTGCAGTTTGCATATTGGGAATTTTGGAAAGGGGGTCATTTGTGTGTGCTTCAGATATGAAGTCCTTAGCTGAGCAGTTTGTTTAGAGACCAAGCAGCCGACATGAGATTTAAAACATCACTCACATCACTTAACTCTTACGCATTCAGTCTTTATTTTCTGATGATCTTTTTATTCAGTTGGTTCAGTTTCTTATAAATGGTTTTCTAATAGAGAATAGGAAATTTATGCTAAGTATTTATGTAAAAGTGAGCAAAATTGGTTTACATTATACCTGATTATAAAGATTCTAATACAGTAAGTATACTTTATAGGTATGTATTGTCACTTTAAGTTTTGTGATAAAACTTTAACGGTCAATGAAAGTTCTGTTTGCATATTTTTTAAAGGTTTTGAATATTAAATTTCCAGTGACTGTTACCTTTTACTATGTTGATACTTGTCCTACAACTATATTTTACATATATTGTCATTTTATAAGTTAATGAAAACAACATAATAAGCTGATTATTTGGTAACTTTTGTACCACTAAAAACTCGAAGAAGCCACCTTAAAATAAGTGAAATTTTATAGTAGATATTCATGTTGATCCATCGTGTTTATTTAGACTATGTGAGAAGACTTACGTGAGAAGAACAATGAATAATGGGTGGATGTATGAAAGTTGATGAGATTAGTACATTACATTCTTTTTAATGTTTTCAGTGTTGGACTCTCTTAAAATAGGGGTTTTCCTAGAAGGAATTCAAAGAAAATTAGCCAGAATTGCTCCCAGTTGCATACCAAGTGCCATAAAGAAATAAGTTACATGGACAGGATATTTTTAGTCTTGGACACACTTAAGAGATTTGATTGAAGTATTCTGCATCCTCAAAGCTGTTGCGAAACATAGCTCTATTAAGAAACTAAAAAAAAATATCTAAGAACCAGTAATACTTTTTTGTGCAAAGAATCTGGATGTTTATAAAACTAGAATACATGTATGCAATGGTTCACAATTTTTGCACTTTTTATGTGCATCTTGCATTAAAGACCAAAAATATATTTTTAACCGTAAGATTTTTTGGTATTTTTACAAGAGGTTAAAATTTTCCATTGTTTCCTTGAGAAAGAAATGTTACCCATTTTGTGATGACTATTCTGTTTTTTGCTGATGCATGATTTACACTTGGATGTATCATTAATTCTAATTGAAATTCTTCTTTGTTTTCAGGGTTTACTTTTTTTAATTAAAGCTCTGAAACTTGTAACATGAGAAGGGAATTGAAACAGTATGCTTTAAAAACATTTAGCACTTCGTAATGAAAAAAGATTGGTTTAGATTGTGAGCCATTGTTTGGGTGTGTTTTTTTTCTTTGTCCATTACTAGGAACCAAATGAGTGGATGGGAAGAATGGTTCCCATTTATAATCTTACGTCTTGGGATAATACCTCTCTACTTCTTTGTACGAACCTTAACCTGTTTTTTCTATACTGGCTTCACAGAAACTTTTAATGTACTTTTTCTCTCCTACACTTGTAGCTGTGCAATTTATTCATTGCAAGCTGTCTTTCAGTCTGAAAGCCTCATTAAAATTAAGTGAAGAGATAAAATGGACTACTATTATCAATATCTAGGAGAGTGCACACAACCAAAGAAAATAAGTATAAGTTAGTTGGAGGGAAGGGTGAGTCTTTTCTATTGTGATAATGTTAATAAAATAGGGTATGCAATGTAGTACAGTAATGAATGTTAAAAATATTTTTAATTTTAATCACATTTGGATTATGAAAAGCTTCAGTTGATTAATCCATCTCAAATCTGTGCATACTGATGTATCATATATAAGATCTTTTTTTCAATAAATGTGACATTTAGAAATATTTTATCATTTTAAGGTAATTTCAAATCTAAAATAGCAATATCTAATAGACTGTCATTTAAAATTCAGGTGTGAGAAACTTAATATCTTCTGCTGAAGACTTTTTGCAAAACTTTTTTTTCCTCTGACTTGATCTAAATTAAACAGTTGAACTGCAATCTGTAGTTTCTAATTTCGGTCCAAAAGTATGGATTTTTTCAAATTATTTTTACACTGATTTTGTAGTGCTGCAGTTTGAAATTAAGACCTTTTTCTTCCTTTGTTCACCAGCAGTAACACAAAACTTGTTCAATACATTTATGTTCAAATGTACATCTTTAATAATGTCATAGGCAATCTATGTATAATTAGATAAAAATGGATTGGTAGGCAGGTGGGCCATGTCACAGTGTTTCACACAGTTTTTTAACAGCCTGTGGTATTAGGTAACTGAATTAGTTACATCAGTTTTATTCTTTACCAACTTGAACCGATGATGGTCATTCCTTTCAGAAGACCATGTGATCAGGGAATTAAGAATTAAACCAGGTAGTATGTGTTAAATCAAATTCTCTGTTGACAATTTACTTTAGTGTGCTATAGTATTTTAATTCATGATAAACTGCTGTTACTCTTTCTTTTAGGTCACTGGGGTGAAGGATAATGTGACTTTTGATATTCCCTGTTTATTTGTTGAATAGGATTCAGTGTTGCTTCATAACAAAGGAAAAAAAAATCCCCAGTGAATATGGCTGTCGTGCCTTATTGTGTGTAAGTATGTTCAAGTTAGCCTGGGAGGTTTTCTGTTCATTGTTATGAGTCCCCAAGCTTTTAACGGATGGAGATGGAATGAAATGTGAAAACAAGGTATATCAATGTGATCTGCATACATTTAAAATGATCTGAGCACAAAACAATTTCACCGCTTTCAAACATAGTTAGGGATATTTATCAGAGACATTGATAAATGACATAACATGCATTGTGCATCCTTGTTTCCAATTTTAATTTAGACTGCTTCTTGTAAGCTTACATTGGAACATTCCAACAGCAAAACTTGGGAATACAGAGGAGCTTATTTTGTTTTGTACCTGTGTTCTGAATGGACATGGCTTAATTAGACTGCATATTTTAATGGCTTTGTGTTGTGATTTTGATAGAACTGTATTATGATCACGATTTACAGTGTTTGACATATTTCATGTAGTTTTTTGGAGTATTGTAATGAATTTACAGTATCTAGGCTATTGCATTTAGGTAAAGATTCAACTAGTGATACATCTTTGCCGCTATTTTGAAGGTGTGCCAATAAGTCGGTAGAATCTGGGCATTAGTTCTAATTGAAGCATTGTTCATTTTTGCTCCAAAGATGACACACTGATTGCTCCATTGCTGCCTAATACCACTGTGGAGCTCACGTCTCTCAAAGGACGTAATAAGTCTGTCAAGTCTGTGCTACATATTCAATAATTGCTATTCCCACTGAACACTTCATTTCTCCCTACTGCATTGCTTTTCACTTCATCTGCAGAATCCTCTCATTTTTGCCTATTGACAGAGAGATTTGCTATGAACCCGATTCAGGCAAGCTGTCATTGTCTTCCTGACCTTGCGGTTTAATATTCTTGTCATAGGTGCAAAAGTGCCACTGTTTCAGTTACCTGCTGTCTTTTCAAAATCATAGAAAGCAATACCTAACCATTACTTCAGAGATGAATTGCAGAGGTGCCAAATTCAACCCATTAAAAAAAAAAACACTTTATGAAGTGATATCAGCATAAATTAGCTTAATGGCAGCTAGTGGAGCAGAAAGTCTTGGTGAGGGGTCTGCAGTGATTTAGTGGAAGCTCTTGAACCTAAATTATACGGAAAGACATTTCGGTTTTCTCCCACAATCATGGGATGATTCTTAAACTTGTTACCTTTGAAGGTCTTTTAGAATGTGGAGCTTTCTAAATTGTTTTTTATTCTAGATTTTAATTTTATTTTAGCACCGGAAAATCCAAAAGTAATGACAAAAAATACTGCTGTGGTTTGCCTTTGATAAAATGAATTGTCAATCTCCAACATAATATGAACTATAGATTGGTTCTATAGATAAAAATGCAAAATGGTAAGTGTCTTTTGTTATGGTGACTGATTTCAAGTTTCCTTTTTTAGATATAGTGTTTATCATCCATCTCTTGGCAGAATGTCTGTGTCTATAAAATTATAGATTTGATCAAATTTGTTTTTGTAGTGCATTTTTGTTGTGAAGTTGTGTTGTCTGTGCTGAAATCTTTTCAAAGCCTGTTTGGGTGGCAATAAGTTTACTTTTCTTTCCAATTCAGCTAAAGAGAGGTCTTTAACATTCTTGGTTAAGAAAAAGAAGTTAGTTTGCACAGGCATAAACTGTACTATTTAATATAATATATGGAATGGTGGCACTGTGGTTAATGATCTGCACCTGTGGTTGGAAGGTTGCCGGTTCAAATCCTGTGGCCGGCAGAGGAATCCTACTCCATTGGGCCCCTGAGCAAGGCCCTTAACCCCAACTGCTCCAGGGGCACCGTATAAATGGCCCTGCACTCTGACCCCAAGCTTCTCTCTCCCCGTCTATA